TAGGCACATACTTATATCTGAGAAGTGGTAGATTACAAAATATGTGGCTATCTGACATTACCTAATAGCTTCCTAAAAGAGTTAAAATATCTAGCAATCTACCAGAATTACTAAACTTTATCACGGACCAACCAATTCATTTTCAATACTTCATTTTAAATGTTTTGTGATTTTCATGAGACTGGTTTAAGTGTTTTCTGATGATCATAAGCTGGTTTTATGAACACATCCGACCATCAAAGTTATGAACACACACATACACTTATATTTACCTACCAAAGTCTAGTACTTCACCTTTCCCACTTATCACTTCTCTCTCGAGTTGATTGTTTTGATTAATTGCAGGCAACTGTCCTCCTTTGTGAAGAGTCAATTTCTCCTCCAGCATAGATGCATACTTACAATAGATCCTTATCAACTCAATTAGGCTCAAACCTGTTTGGCATTTTCTCACTATCTTTCACCACACCCTTCGGCAGTATTCTTCCTTTGCAATTCTTTTTCTTGATGCATGCCAGAACTATGCTGTTGTTCTTTCCACAAGTCACGCTCAGCCTTTTTCCTAAAGCATAAGCCTTTTACACAAAGACACCATTTAATAGACCTGCTCATCTTCAATAGGTTTTTCTATTTTAATCTAGAGTCTAACTGAACCTTGATAAAAATAGGAATTCCCGTGCTGCAGGCTATGAACGCATGCATTCTTCCTGTACCTTCAAAATACTTTTGTCAGCCTGAGACTTTAATTGCTTAGCTATTGTTCTTGTCGTTATTTTATATAACTAGTGCGTCTCTGGGATTGGCGCTAACAACGACGCTTATCAAGGACTAGGAATACTTTGAGTGTGGCCTGATCATGCCCTTTTGAGGTAGGTCCCAGGAGTCAGTAATTCTCTTAACCCAGTTCTAAGGCCACTGTGCTCTTCCGTTCCTTCGCCCAAATAAACAGAGGTCAGTAGAATGTCTCCAGGTAGTCATCTCCAGTCCTAACATCGAATGCTGCCAGCACATCTGAGCCAGGGACCTATGCTTTTATGCAGCGGAGTTCTTAGGCGACTTCTAGAACCTCACAGGCCTCCGCTACTTGGTTACCACACAGGGCCAGGCGGGACCCGAGGTCGCCGGCAGGTCCTGGTCTGGTCGCCTCGGTTCGGTGGTTCGGTGTGGGTGACCTCTCCCGGAGACATAACAGTTCACAGGGAGAACACACAGCACGCGGGGGCCAGCGGGGATTCACCCGCTGCGTCTCCACAGTCTCAGCAGCGGTCGCAGGGCCCGGGCAATTCGCGG